TCGCGTGCTACAAGGGGGTGGGGGGGGGGGGGGGGGGGACGCAAAGTGGATTAACCATTGCTGTCTGGTCCATTGCCTTGTACTGTTAGAACGAACCAGTACAGCAATCTAGATGACTCGTTCTGACGTTCGTCAAGGGGCAAATACTTAGTCCACTTGAGTGAGCTGCTTACAAGGTCACTGTTAACACTGCCGGTTATGCAATAACGAACCGCAACTCTCTATACGAACTTTCTCTTTTTTGTTTTTGCAGATCTGAATGTATGACTGAAGCTATAAATGGTTGTAATACAAAAAAAAATACCCAAAGTTCGTGGATGTCCCACAAGTGCTGGAAAATTTTGTTATTAATAGATGAGAGTGGCTGGAGGAATCACGAGCGGGAGGCGGGAAGCAAGGCCCCTCGGTGTTTGCATAGGAGCCAATGACGCACAGACCACAAACAGACCAGTTGCACTCTCCAGTACATGCGTTGGACTCTTAAACTTTTGCGGTCTTTCAAAACAAAAAAACATTATAAAAGACGATGAAGTGTTGGTTCTTTACTTAGTTGTGTATGATTGACACTATTTTTTTTTCAATTACTTATTGTTGTCAAGGCAAAACCCCTTGTGCAGAGCCAGCAGATGCTGTGGCAACGAAATAGGCGCAAGAAAAGCCCAAAAACCCTAGAAACATCTTCTTTGTTTCAGAAACTCGATAGTACAAGTACCGGTTCCGGTATACAACAAAATGCAATTGGCTCCCTGAATTAGAACGCAGTCACAACGCTTTAGTTTTGTACTCCAGAAAGTACTTTGGCTGTGGTTACTCTTTATTGGAATTAATACTCGCCGAGCCGGCGAATACTGTCGTTAATTAAAACAAGCAGTCGAAAGGACACCCACATGGCTCCCCTTTTAGTAAAACATTGGGAGAAGAACCGTTTTTTTATCTGCTTGCTCGAACGTACAATGTGTGGGTGCTGGCCAATCACACGATTGAACGATAACAATAACATGCAGCTGTCCTATCCTACGCGTAGTTCTCGTTCAAATCGTTATTCACACTTTCTGTGCAGGTTCTATGGCTCTTATTATCTAGTGCTCTGCCTCCAGCTGCTATCGTTTACTTTTTGCTTACTGCAAGTGGCTTCAGAGTCTGGAGCAGACTGGGCTGAAACTTGCGGCTCAGAGCGATGCGCAAAATTATTTGATAGAGCCACATCGGCAGTCACTTTTCGTTTTCCTTTCAAGAGCTCAAGACCCTTCCTTCCAGCGATCACCCCTATCTACAATCATGCGCAGTGTATTCTACGTAGCTCTTGTCTTTGCGGTTCTCGCTCGCAGCAGCACCGTCGCAGCCTTCCCTCATACCGACGAGTCTCAACTCTTGGCAGTGACATCTCCCGACTCTGCGACCCATACCAAGCGATCGCTTCGTGCGGCAGGCCAAGAAGTTGTCCAGAGCACCGGGAACGGGAACGGTGGTATCTTCAAATCCACACTCACCAGTATCAATAAAGTCGTCCATAAGCCGGAAATTAAGCTAGGCGGACTCATCGAGAAGGCCAAGATAGCCCAGGCGGCAAAGGCGTTTAAAAATAAAGCTACGGGGAAAAAGTAAAAGGTGGTTAAGGCCTCAACGACGTAAGGAAACCCGGCGAGGTAGCTTAGGATGCGGAGAGAGAGTCTCAGCTATCCACTTGCTGTTGCGGAAAAAGAATGTGTTAATTTCATTCTGGATAAAGATCTACAAATGACACTTTTGTTTTTTCTTTTGCTTCCAAACTTTAACACAAAATAGCTGTTTCACGAGATATTGGGGTGTTCTAATGTTAAGACGACTGTATTTTGGAATGGTGCCAAGTATTTATTTTGTGGGGTGCGTCGAAAATTTTCTCACGACAAAGCTTGAATTGTATTTTTTTTTTACTATTGTCAGTGGTTTCTTTTTCTCCAAGATATCATATCTGTTTATAAAATACATTATCAATCCATTTTTCCCGTGGTGAGCAGAAGCAAATATACTGTCAAGTATTACGAGGAAAACATGATGACTGTGAAGGGGGTCATTGTTGTAAAAGTATGATGTTGGTCATCCCCAACACGAGAGTACTATAAATTTGTAAACTGCGATTATGGTTAGGTTCAGAAGTGGGATTGAAAGACAATTGCAGAAACTGCACTGAAGTTACACTTATGTTTCCAAATGACACTATCCATGTGCGTGTTTTCGTCAGGATTTATGCATTAGTACAGCGGCTTCATTCGACAGGCAACATTTCCAGATTAAACGCATTCTTCTAGTCTAAAGAAGTGGGCTCAATGAATCATCAACAACAATTCTAATGATTAGCAGTGTCGTGACATCCGTCCTATCGTTACCTTTCAGAATAAATACAAGTAGGAATATATAGGTAATTTAGCAATACAGCAGTGTTGCTAATACTACAACATCGGATACATAGTGGTGCAAATCTGCGACACCGTAGTGTTGCAATAATCAGTACAGACCGTGGACAAGCCATAAACACCACAAACGATTACGGTAAACTAACGGCACACTTCGCAGTGTAATCATGAACTTCACTGCACTTGTCATGATTGTCACTTTGATAACAAGGGAGCAAGCGTCCGTAACACCATGGCCGGGAATTGACAGTGTATCTACACTATGTACTGGGCAAACATATAACCTGTGCTGCGTGCGTGTATCAAGTCTAAAATGCTCCGACTAAAAAAAAGTCGGAGCATTAAAAAAAAAGCGACTGGCCTACGTTCTGAGGTGTGAAAGCTATAATTTGAGATTGCGGAGCTTAAGTTGCAGTTACCTGCACCGATCGTGGTGGCGTCGGACAAGAAGCCCAGGGATAGGCCAGAGAATACGCGGAGTTGCTGGGAACCATCAGCTACAGGTCGCCAAGGTGATGTCCGATATCCCCGGGATGGTACGATCTTGTTAACAACTCAGCATTGTTAAGAAAAAAACTATAACGGACACAAACTGACTTTAACATTGCATTATTTCTCAGAGTGACTATGGCCCATATCCACTGCTTTTTAAAATTTACATCATTATCGACTGGGAGGGGCGACACGCGACTCTTTTGTCGATCAGAGATAAATAATAGCGTGCGGCATACGACTTTGTAATGAATCCAAATCAACTTCTTACTATATCCAGTAACGAGTAAGATGCTGGAGGGGGGGGGGGGGGTTTGAGGGACGCACGATGCAGATTGGTCTTCAATAAGTTGAAACAATTAAGGTTTCCACTAGCATGCTAGTGATGATCAATTTGGTGGTAAGCGAATTA